GCAGGAAATGTTTCAAATGTTGTTTAATTAGATCTGCACCAGGTACCCTGCTAATGTAATCAAATGTGGAGTTAATCTCCCTTTATGTTTTTGTAAGGAAAGGAGCTTCATCTTGAAATTATAGTTTAAAGAAAAGAGGCATGGATGGGAGACGTGGAGGTCATTCAGGCAGCAGCAAGTGAAGCAGAGCAACTCCCATTTGTGCTCAGCCAGATGTTCATGAGCCTTTGCCAATAGCTCAAAAGGCTGATGCTACATAAATTACTATATCCCAGGGACTAATTCAATGGGTGTGATGGAAGAGGAAGGGAGGAGGATGGTACCCTGTCGGTCAGAGGTTAGGTGTAACACATGGGGCTGAACCAAGCAATATTCAGTCAGTTCTGTTTTTTCTTTTATTATTGTGGATTTAAAACACCATTTTTCCTATAAAAAGCAGAAGAAAATATTTTCATTAAGAATAAAGACCAGTTATTATTTTTTTAAATGTCTCTTTTCCCAAGTAATCAAAAAAGAATACCCAACAAAATTTGAGCTTCTGACAGTTGTCTTTGAAAATACAGAAGCCCCTTTGAAAGCTGATTAAAAATAATAATAATTAAAAAAAATAATTAAAGGCTTCTCTTGTTTTCTGAAAAGGTGATGATTACAAACCAAACTGCCTTGCCTTCACTGCCATGTTTGTACCAAATTTACCTAGAGAAAATCCTTTTCACCCAGCATGAATTGTTTTCCTTTCCTCTCTAGGAGAGTTATTTTTACAAAAGTAAAAACAAACAAAACCCCAGAGTAATAAATAATGGTTTTCCTTTAGCACATGAAGCCTTCTCTAGACCAAACTTCTGCCATTGCAAGAAAGTAGGCACTTGTAGGTTGCTAACTCTCATACTGTATCTCATTGTCTGTATCAGAATCCCAGTTATCTTTGATGCTCTGCCTGTAGAAAGAAGAGGTGAACTAAGGGAATCTCTTTGTCTTTCAAGGATATACACCTACCCGTTATGACATGAAGGATAATTAAACAAATGTGACTCTTGCTTGTTACAGAAAGGTAAATAAACTCAAGTCCATACCAGTACCTAGTTTTCTATCAGTTTCACAAGAGTTGACTCTGATTTTGAATGTTTGAGTTTTGCAGTGCTAATGCTTTTTAATTTATCAGGATGTCCTACAGTCTAAAGATAAAAAGCAGGATTTCAAGGTTAATGAAGTATACGCTCAGCATCCTAAAGAGTATTGCTCAATCAGTGGGAAGCCCATGGAGGGACAGAGTGCCTTTTCTTCCATAAAATAAAGAAATAAGCAGTGCCCTCTAGTGTTCGTTAACATCAGAGGGAACAACCAGGAGAATCTTCTATCATGTAGGCAATTAAACCTATTTCACAGCCACAGATGGAAATCTTTTTTTCTTGAGGAAAAGTAGTAAAAAAGAACTGCAATACCATAGTTTATCAGGACATAACTGTCAGAAATTCAGTCATTAATACATAAATACAGTAAGATATGTCAAACTCCCTGACCTGTTTTACCTTCTCTAATTTTGAATTGTATGAGTGTAGTATGTCTCTAACCTGTACGTGACCTTGGAAAGAATGGGAGATGTGTTTTACCAAAGGGGCTCATGAAGTTTTAGGGACAGGTGTAGCAGCAAGTGTTCCTGCTTGAATTTTGGAAGTTCAATTTCTGTCATAAAGCAGTCCTGGTGTATGTATTCAAGCTTATCTACATTATAACAAAGGAATGAGCAGGTAGGTCTTTTGAGCTGTCCCTGGAGCACCTCAGAATTTTTTGGTTCTGGTGATATTAGCAGGTTGGATTCCTGTTTCGAAGCCATAGGCACCATTTGTTTCTATTTAAGTCAACTCTGCCAGGGATGCACCATGGGAATTGCAATCACTTCTGTGCTTTAGCATGGAAGGCTATTTCTTTGTCTGTTTAAAAAGGGAAATGCTTTAAATTGCTTATGTAAAATAGCAAGTGTTTAAAAAGCATTTGCTGTGTGGTTTCTGAATCATCTTCAATGTGAAAACATCATGAGCATATGTGCCTTTCCCTCTCTGTTTTTTTAATTTGATTTTCTACCATAGAAAAAGAGATTATGAATTATTTCAGCTTTTCAGTTTCTGCTGACGCATTTTCATAGCCTTGGCTGCAGTCTGGGGCTTTTGGGATGAGCCCTGTAGTCCCTGTGGTGTTAAGGTTATTGTTGACAAATAGGAATCCTGTAAGGCCTTGAGAGCATCTTCTTGAGTGTCCCTGAGCTGTACGCATTTATTGTTTTCCAAAAAAAATCACACAGAAATACAATAAAAGTACAGGCTTTTATAAGGTGATGCGTGCAGTATCTTGGCTTATGCAGGCTTTCCTGCCCTGGGTGAGGTTCAGCCTGGACTGTGGTTTTCTAAACCAAAATATCTGATGTAGCATGAGTCCAAGGAGTGACCACCTCACTTTCCTCCTTGGGTTATGCTCTGTGAATATTTCTGATGGTTGCCAACACTGTAAGAAGTGGATGCCAACTTACTGACCGTATTGCCTATGTGTAAGAATACCAGGTGAAGGATTGTATCTCTTGTATTTCTGAGCTGATTCAACAACATTAGCTCCACGTGAGGAGGGATCTGCCAATGTAAATTGTTTCTGTGTAGATTGCTGCGCCCTGGTAGTTGATGTCAGAAATGAGATTGCTTACCTGGACTGTTGCTCCTCAAAAGGGGTGTCAGACCAGCTCAAGCATTTGCTATACCTGCTGCTGTCTTGTTGCCACTGCTCTTGCCAAGCTTGATACTTCCGGTAGTTATTGATTCTTCAGCTCAAATGATAGACCCCTTTTTTGTGCTGCAGTTAATAACTTCTGTCTTTGCTACACGTGAGCAGGGAGAGCATTGTTTGTCCTGATTGCCAAGGACGATGTTAATGCTCTGTGAAAAGACCAAGATGAAAAATGTTCAACATTGTTTCTCTGAGCCATACCAAAAATCTGCATGCACCAATGAAAGCAACCAGTGTTATGGTATCATAACAATGGTTCATTAGGACTTTACCCCGGGCCGGGATGATGATTGTTCTTGTTTAAGACCAAGATCAACAGATGGCATTTGTTAGGATACTCATACTTATGTACAAAGTTGCCAGCACTTTAAAAAGTGGTGCCTCTCTTAATTAAGATGATAATGTACTGCCTTGTTTGGAGAGATTCTGCTCGTAATGATGCTGGTGAATTATGAATAGAGGGAAATTAGTAATAACAAATGCCAGATGGAGGTATCTTTCAAAGAAGAATATTTTGTGTAATATGGCATGTAAAGTTGACAGACCGGGTCTTAAAAGACCTTTATTATTCTTTAAGCTTTCCTAACAAAATTACTCTTTATCCTGCCAAGAAATGTAGTTTCACATGCCAGTGCGTTTTTAAGCGAGAGTAATTAAAGTATGCCTGTAAGTTTATGGCTTGAAGTGAAATCCGTTCCTTCAGTGTTTTGTCAGGAATCTATAAACAGTGCAAGGAAGGAGACAACTTATAACAACAATAGTTTTGCCAATTCTACACATTCTGCCTTTGAAATCAGAGGCAATTAGGGATGAACAAGACTACTTTCAAATTTTACCCCAAAAAAAGTGTAAGTTTTGCTGAAGTTTTACTTCACATTTTTCCTTTGGTTGAAGATGACTGTTGGAAATAAGAACTGTTTTTCTAAAATTAAAACCTGCCTTCTTTGATTGAAGCAAAAAAAAAGGATTACTGAGTTATAAATGCATTGAATCCTCAAATGCTAGGCCTTTTTTGTAACTTTCTGAGAGAGGGAAATAAAATTTGATTGTATAGTGTAAAGTGGTAATTAAAAGAGAAATAAGAAAGGGTAAATAAGAAATAAAACTTTGGGGTTTGTTATTTAATTTTCTCATAACAATATTCCCACTCCATGGGCATTCCAGCTTTGATCTCATGAACTGCTGGCCACTGTCCGTTGCAGAGAAGATCCTTTCATGATAATCTGTGGGTCAGAAAAAGTGTGTCATGAGAGGTGACCGTGAAGATTTGATTTTCCTTTGTAATTGTCCTCAGATTTCATTAGTGTAGTAAAAATCAATTTAGTACTGTAGAAGTGTTGCATATAGTCTCTCTCTATCAGATATGCAAAATGTAGTAGACCTGAAGAGCATACGTTCAGCTCCATCCGCATATAGTCTCAAATTCTTTCCAAATATGCAATAATAACCTTGAGATGTACAATCCAAGACTTATTCCAAAGGCACAAACATTGTGGCAGGTTTCAGAAAGATAACAGAGGGGTTGCTTTTGTCTTCTTTAAATTGCTTCTATGAGTGTGCATTAGTAGGGGAATAAATTAAGCAATACATTTCAGTACTGGATGATGAAAAGAAGGCTTCTGCCTCATTTAGTAAAAGATCAAGATCAGTTTTCATGAGAATAAAACACTGTTTTGAATTATGCTTAGAACAGACTGTCCGACTATTTCTGGTATTAACATTCATCGCCATTGCAGAAGGGATTTAACAATAGAAAGATGAGAACATGAGAAAAGAATGTCTAGAGGGAAGGCAGTCAAGGATGGGATTCAGTGGCTCTAGCTTTGATAACAAAAGCAAAGAGTGCTCTCAGTTGAGTCTTTTGAGACTAATCTGGTACTTTCAATAAGCCCTAAATCTACCCTAATGTAGAAAGAGTAGTATTTCTAGGCATTTTCAAATTAGGGCATTGTTTCTCACTGATTTGTAAATTTACCTGGGAGGTGTCATCTGAAGTTACAGACAATTAAACACTGGTTTTACTTGCACTTTTTTAATGAATGAGTCCTGTATAAGTAAAAATTATGTCAGCTTTTTTTTTTTTTTTTTAACAGCAGTCTATCTAAAGGGAAATGGGTGCTATGGCTCTTCCACTCAAAGTCTTTTGAAATCTGTACTACTTGTTTGCTATGTTGTCAGTATTGTTTATGCTGAACTTTTTTCTGTTGTCCTTTTTTTTTTTTTTTCAGAAAAACTTTACAATTCCAATGGACGGGAGCTGAGACGAGCACTTTTCTCCTTGAAACAAATATTTCAGGTGAGCAAATAATAGCTGTCCATTCTGTGATTTGAACACAATTTGATTTTTTTTTTTTTTTTTTTTTTTTTAATGTAGACAGTAACTTAAAGTTGCTGGCAAAAGATAATTTTAAGACTTGGTTTATAATGTGCAAATAGCCAATTGCTGCTTTATGGTCTGCAAGCCTTCCCCTTTTCCTTTTGGTCTATCAGAAGGCACGACCAGATGCAGAGTAATCACAGAGTTAGTGGTTGGAACCTGCCAGGAAAGGAGAGAAGAAAATGGGGACTCATAGATGGAAACAGACTACTCATTAGACAGTGGCATAGTTCTGTGTTTGGGAAGACTGGGAAGGGGATGTGAAAAAAGGATCTAGAAAACCATGGATTGAGGCCATGGCCCAGCATTGGCCTAGTAATTAATAAATAGACTAGGTTTAAGCCACATCAAAACTGAAAAAGGATGTGTGAGAGACATGGGACAAATCTTATGAGGAACCAAGGTGTACTGGGAGAGCTCTGAAGGTTTTAGAATTTAGATTTAGGTTAAGGGGAATGATTTATTGATTAGCTGAAAAGATGGAGCTGGGCAAGCGTATAATAGTGACTAATCAGTGTAAGCTTAAGGAAGGGTATGGATTTGAATGTGAGTGTTTGTAATGGAGGAGACTTGAAATCAACAGGATTTTGAGTCCTGTTGGGGAAGTAGACAGTGGGATAGACAAGTGGTGTGGGTGATGACAAAGTGAATTGAGTAAAAGGTTTGGGTTTCAGATTGGTTTTACTGGATAAGAAGGACTTGGGAAACTTACAAGACAGGAAGGAAACTTGCTGGAGAAAACAGGCCAGGAAAAGTGAAAAGAAAGTGTTGGTGAGAACTCGATCATACTGCAAATGTGATCCTGGATGACAACCTGTAATGTTTTTCATCTACTGTAGAGTAGGTACAAGGGTTTGAAGCTGTTAATTTAGCATTTTGTGCTTTGTTTTAAATAGACATTTATTCTAAGAAGTATAACAATGTTTAACAATTCTAGAAGACTGCAGAATTGCAAATTTCCAAAACACATAATGCTTTTTTGAATGTTTCAAAGTTAAGCATTTAGAATTTAGAAAATGCCAGAGTGAAAGTTTTCTGAACAATAGGAGTAGATGGTGAAGGGTGGACCATTTAATGGAAAATGTTGGTGGTTGAAGATGTCTTCTGGGTCAGGAAAAAGCCTTTGAATTTTTAAATTTTTGGACAAATAAGGAGTTCCAGCTCCAAAACAGTCTGGTCATCTTATAGCCACAAATTGGGAAAACCATTGTCTCTTCAAGGCATTACCAGGAACAGTCAGCTTGAGAGTCACAGTGATGCAAGTTGGGTTTCCCTGTGAGCATGCCGAGTGGGTGGACTGGGTGCTCAGAGGAAATCAGGCAGGTTTCCACGAGTCTTCTCTGTTTTCTTCACTTTTTGTCTGCCTCAACTGTTTCTGGGAATTATTTTTATTTCTTTGAATTTATGTATTCCACAGGTTGATGTGGGCACTCACGCATATTTAGCCTCTCTTCTCACCTACCCTGCAGCTCCCATAACCTCCCATTATGACTTCTCCCGGTTTGGGTATTCACAAATGTTCTCTTCCATGTGGGTTATTTGGAGTCTAGCAGGTATTTCTGAGCACACAGTGAACACATCAGTAAGTTCTTTCTGTGAACACACCAGTAAGATCTCTCTGGCTTCCAGTTGATCAGCTGTTTTCATGGAAGTGTTTGAATACTTATAAATTTAATTGGAGTTAACTGGGTTCAAGAGAAATGAGAGGGATGGGCAAAGTGATGCATACAAACCCATATCTGCGTATGAATTTAGTTTTTAAGTGAAGCCTGTCTGATGGTTTCAGAACATAATTTCCCTTGAAGAATTCGACTTCTCTGCTTCCTAATATATGTGACACGGAAAGGAATTTGGGATTATTTATCTGTTACCACTTTAAGTAGCTACTTCTGGTAGAACTGTAGCTGATGTTGAACATACCCTTCAAAAAAATCTTCATATACTTTAAAAATACAGGTTCTCATTAGTGGATAACAGAGCAGGAGTCTTCCTCAAGTTGGAGAGTATTCATATGATATGCTGAAGTATCTGAGGTAGTACACTTCACACTGGAAGATGAAACCCTGTATGATGTAAACTCCTGTTTACCTGTCAATTTTGCTGTCCTTAACCACAGTTACTGGCATTGCTAAGGACATCTTTTGTGTATGGTTTTAGTTTGTCTCGTAATGAACCATGACAGAGAATGTATTGATTTTTATATCTGTTTTGAAAGAAAAGCTGTTTCATTTTTTTAGTGAGGAAAAATACAAGTTAAGGTTATAAGGTTATATTATAGACCAAACACTATAGTCCAAAAGGTCATACCTAATTTATTTTTTAGTCTATAACATTAAAGTATGTCAGCATTAGAAATCTAGAATTCTGTTAAAAGTGTTTTTAAAAGTATATTTTTCAACATAAACATCTGTTTGATTTTCTGTCTCATATTTAGTGTATTTAATTACTTAAGAGCATAATATTTGGAAACAAAATGTTGACTTCAAAACCAGTCTTTATTTTCATTTTAACAGTTTTTCAGACTGTTATGGAGACTTCATCATGTCTTCATGTGCCAAGACAGTTCGTAACACCATGTTTTTATAATCATTTCATCATAGCTGAGTTAATTTGGCACAGTTCTGTGTCAGTATCATTTTTAATTTAAAGAGCTTCAAGGTAACGTGCAGTCTCTTATTTGCATTAAGTGGGAACAAGCCCAAGTTTTACATCAAATATGCATTTTAAATAGTTGGAGCTCATGGTTTTTCATGCGAGGCCTCAGCAAAGCTTAGCAGTGTTTGGCAAAAGCAATGCTTTTGTTTCACATTTTAAATAGAAGATTCATTTGACAAGTCCAACTTGGAATTTGTGTATGGTTTCTTCTGGTGGGTTGGTTTTGGCAAAATGATAAAGGTTATGTGGAGTGTTTTTCTTTGACAGTAGTGCCATTCTGTTACTGTCATTCATTCTGAAGAGTTAAGATAGCCACTCTCATCATCTTTTGCTGGACTTTACTGCAGTATTATTCTTCTGATTTGCCAATATGCTTTTTGATGAACAAACTTAACAGACAAAGGAAAGTAATGTTCAGACTTGTATATGAAGCACTTGACCTTAAAAGAACTGAAAAAAGATTTACAGATATAATTGACAACCTGTTTAGCTCCCTTCAAATGTATTTTCTGACAGACTTCTGAGTTGCCTGGTTCTTGCATTTATCAGAGATTTGTTAATTTTGTGCAAAGTGCTAAAGGCATCCTGGGCAGAATCCAGCTGAACATAGCACTTATAAAATCAGGGTCAAAAAACATTCTTGCATTTTCTGATTGTGATATTATAAGAGAGATAAAAATACAGCTGCTTGAAACATTTAATTCAATATCGATCTTAAGAACAGAAAAATTGGGTACAAGCCCTATAATGTATGTAAATACTTTTGTGCAATTTACATGATACTAAAAAAATTTATTTAACAAGACCTTTGATACAACTAGATGTAATATAAAGCAAGCATGTTTTAAAACCTATAAATAAAAGTGTTCCTTGTAGATACATTACAAAGCACAGTTTCAATTCATGCTGATTGCACAATTTCAAAATATTAAATAACTGGATAACACTATGGTGTTATAAGAAAAATAAGAAAGCTATAAAGCATGTTTCAAGTCTGAAATCTGTAATCATGTGTAAATCTGCTTAAAGTTTTGGAAAATGTTTTTAATCAATCAATGCATTAGGTTTTCTGGAAAGCAAACCTAAAGGGTATATTTTAAAGTGTTAAGGAAAAAAAAACAGTTTTCATTTAGGTCTCTTTCCCGCACTAAATGTTGTTTGACAAATGCAGGAGATCTCCCACTATTTTTCTTGAGGAGCCTGGATTCCTGTTTTGTGTTGTGATCAGAATATCAAGCAACACAGTTACAAAATTCTCTTACAGAATTTTCTTCTATTGTTGAGAAATTCATTAATCATTGAACAATTGAGCTTTGTGTAAAACGTCACAAAGAACAGCTATGTAGGGGCCCTGGAAACATTAACTAGAAGGTGTTTGGATAGACACAGTCTTATCAGTGAGTGAAATCAAATGTCACACACTTCAGCTGCTAAGCAGTCATCAATCATCCTTAGGAGAGCAGAAGGAGTATTTTGTGTTTGCCTTATTGATCTCAAGGAAGGAGGCTGCTCCTTCCCCTCTTGCAAGCATGACTGATGACTCCTTAGGGTTTGAAGCTGTGTGACACTTGATTTAGGGGCTGCTACCATCACTTGTGAGGGAAACTGCCATCTCTCCCCTTAAATAGCCTTCTTGGAAGGGTTCTTGATTAAGTCATGAAGAAGAGAGAAGCCTTCATTTCCTTCCCAAATCGAATTTACCATAGTTCCATGTAGCAGTTTACAAATCTGTTTAATCTGGTTTTATAAAGGATATGTCTCATTACTGTTTAGACATTAACATAGATAGGTCATGTTAAACATAAAAATGGGTTTCTCAAGTTCATTGGCAAATAGTGTCATCTTCATGCCTAGAAAATGTTATGGGCTGAGATTTAAACAGTTCTTAATGAGACTATAGAATGTGAACTCCTGAACCACAAAGATAGCCTAAAAACTTGGAAAGCCACCATTATTCATTCTCTAATTTGTACAAATCTTTGAACTGAAACAGGAAACCTTGTTTTGTATGGAGCCTATGTCCCTTTAGCTTCCTCTCATATGTAATACATTGCATGATAGGTTTTTGACCTGTTGCTTAGCTGCCATGAAGAATATCCCTCATAGGGTCTGGTCTATGTGACTTTTCTAGTAATTTTTAATTCCGCTATTAACTGGGAGGAAAAAACCACAGTGTATTGATGTATCTGCTGTCTGCTCAAGGTGCAAAGGATGAAATTTTCTCCTCATTAAGTTAGTGGCATAAAATGTCTTTAGTTTCAGTG